TCTATTTCAGACACAAAGATTTTTTTAATCCCTAATTATAGGAATCAGAGAGAGATTATTGATCAAAGTCATATATACAAGGTCGCCTGAGCTACTGCTGTTATCAAATAGTAATGCCTCATTAGCATTATAAAATGCCAAAATTAAAAAGGCCAATAAAGGAGAATTCAGTCAAAGCCTGTATTTTACAGACAAGGAAACTAAGGCCTGGAGGGGGTGAATAAATTGCTGGGAATCTGCATGAGAAAGTGGCAGGCGTGAAGCCAGACTCCAGGCTCCCGATTCTCAAGGGGATGAACAGCAAGAACACACTGGCTGTGGTGGCTGCACTTGCCACACAGACAGGACGCTGTGGCTTGGCAGGGCTTTACTAGGATCTGGGAATCCTTAACTTTCACGTGAGTCCCAGGCGATTCCTAAGGTCAAGCAAGTTTGGGAAACACTGCTGCATCTCACGGGCCTCCTTAACCTGAGCTGTGGTGCTCAGCTGTCAGTTTCTGTTATTACATTTAGGGGCCTTCCAGGGATTAGAGGAGGGTGGAGACCATATTCAAACACCAACATCCTCCCTCCTATGTGGTATGTTTCAATGAAAGCAAGTCTTGTGCTAATTTCAGCAGAAATACAAACATTTATCAGCCGGGCGGCACAACCTGTTCTGGAAGTGCAGTGAAGTCTCCACTCTGTCTCTGAAATGCTGACAAGCACTTCGCATAATAGGTTCATTCTGAGGAAGAGGCAAATATATTCTGACATCAGGACCCGCCAAGGGACAGCCCCTTGTGAGGTCCAACAATGCAGCCTGAGCACTGCCCAGAAGGTGTTAAGGCTACGGTGTCTGCCTTGTTCATGCAGAGAGTGGCCATGCAATCGGACTGCCAACCAGCTGTCTTGAACACTACCGATCTCGCCTATAAAAACTGTTCCCATTCTGCCAAGGCCATCATGTACAGGTACACGGGCGGAGAACCCTGTCTGTCAACTCTATAAGAGCACCATTCACACTCACTAACATGTGAATGGTGCTCCCTTTTAGTGAAACCAAAACACACCTCCCTAAACTTGGAACACTTCTAGAATCTAGGGGGGAAAATCTTCCACTTTTTCAGCACTGTTAAAAAAAAAAAAGCCAGCAAGTCATTTTTTCTCCTATTCTCTTTCAATAATTGCATTTCACATTCACCCAGGAAGTACTTTTAAGATGAAGTAGAAAGAGTTCTGGCCTGGAAATCAGAAAACTCAGTATTTGTCTTATGTATGCCTCTTCCTGGTTCCAGAACTGCCATTTCTTTGTCTGTAACATGGATACAACACAGTCTGGCCTCACTACCGTACAAGGTTGTTGAGTCAAATAATGAATATGAAAAATACTTTTTCAATCATAAAAGCACTACATAAAATAGTGTTATTATTAATTATAAAAAGAGACAAATCACACAGGCCTGAAAAGTCAAACAGTGCTATCAGGTTGGGTGTCTATTGATTTCAACATAGCAAAGTCTCTTTTGATTGTTTACAGAGCCAAGATGTAACTACCTACATTTCTGGCTACTGTCACTCCTTTCAATGAGAACTTACTGTGTCAACAAAATAAATGAAGTTTGACTTTTATAGAAAGGAGCAGAGTAGTGGTTAAACACAAAAACTTAAAAAGGTAGAAAGTTTAATTTTTTATTTGTATTTAAAGTGATTGTCTTGCTCACTTAGATTTTCAGCAGTCAGTACAGTAATCCCTCCCCCCAAAGTTTTTTTAAAGATTTTATTTATTTATTTTTAGAGAGAGGGGAAGAGAAGGAGAGAGACATCAATGTGTGGTTGCCTTTCCAGTGCCTCCTACTGAAGACCTGGCCAGCAACCCAGGTATGTACCCTGGCTGGGAAGCTAACCACTGGCACTTTGGTTCCCAGGTTGGCACGCAATCCACTGAGCCATACCAGCCAGGCCTCTCCCAAACACTTTTGTAGTCATTCTTCCTGACACTGAGCACTAAGAAATTATATGTTAGTTCAGTTCAACTGTCTATTGAACTAGCCCGTTCCAGGCACTGTTGTGAGCTTTGGAAAAACAAAGACACAGCCATGGTGGACCTCCGAAGTGAATACACAATTTCAGTCCACACTGGTAAATGCAGTGATAGAGGTGCATACGTGATGCCCATGCTGGGGGCCATGGCAGGGAGCCCTCCCTCGAACAGGGGTTCAGGGAAAACATTAAGGAAAGCTTTAAGGATAAGTAGGAGAAAAACAGTAATGTGCATTCTCCCCAACAAAGGACAAAAAAAAATTATTTTGAATGACTTTCTACCCATGAGATTTTGAGGAATGGCACACTTGATGAAATACTTCTTAGAATCATGAGGCCCACAGGACTAAATGCTGTTTCTATCTTGCAAAGATAAAGTCCATAGGCTTTCAAAATAGCTCCACTCACACACTTTATTAGTCATAGAAACCCATCAAGCAATGAAATATGCAGTCTCCTGCTGCACTCGGGCTTCTGGGAGCTGCTCAGTTTTGTTACTTGCTCCTTAGGAGGCTTATTAAAAAGTTCACCTGACAAGAAGCGGTGAAGTTAACAGTCACAGTTATCCTTGGGAGCGTTTACTAAATGCATTTGAACTTTGTTTCCCATTTCCACACCACCCTAAAGGGATGGGGGGGCGCCCCCCCCCCCAAGCAGTGGGACAGCAGGTGAGCCAGTCTCACCACCTGACCTGGGGCAAATCTCAACTCCCTCAGACTTGATTTCCTCTCTCGTTAAGAGCACATGAAATGTACACCTGAGACTAATGCCAAATAACAGTGAATGTAAGCTGTAATTGAAAACTAAAAACTTTAAGAAGGAGTTCATGAAATAGATGGTCTTTAAAGACAATTCCAAATCTAAAATTCTCCACGTCCATTCTAATGAAAAAGTATGTTATTCTGAAGTCCTGCCTAAAAAGGTACCAAAATGACTTCAAAATGTAGCTTTTACAGGAACAGGGTTTGATGCATCTTCTAAAAAGAATCCTAACAGGAGCTAAATGAAATGAACACATATGCATTTCACTGCTTTTTAGCATATAAAAAAGTGTGTGAAAGTGAAAAGCCACAAAAACTAGGTCTTTATAGTTCAACTTTCTTCTCTGTACATGTACTTCTACTCTCAGACATAATTACATTCAATAAAAGCCTTCTTCCTAATCATAAAAAAGAAAAAATGATGAGCCAGCCAGGTTTTGTGGTAAGAAATCAAAGCAATTTAAGATTCAAAAGATTTTAAAAACTTGTGAAAAGTTTTCAAAAGAGTTATTGCAGTCCCTTAGGACAACCTTAACTAATTTAGGGAATTTGGGGGATTTTTGCCTGTTGGTGCATATGTACACAAAGAGAGAAAAGCGATATGTTTAAATGTAAAACAACCCTGGCAAAAGAAAGAGTTCATGACCTTCAGGGAGTTTCTTCTTGTTTCTTAATTCCCACAACAGATCAGTTTACCTAGTAGATCTGCCTCATCACCTCATTCCCCAAGGGTGAAATTCTCCTTCACCCACACGCACAAGACACTCTACACAGAAAAAGCACAGAAGCAACTAGTGATTACCAAGATGACCATGCCATTCCACTAGGACAGCTTATCCTGATGCATGAGATCATTATTCACATTAAGTGGATATATTCTGTTCATGTCCAGCAACTTTATGAAAGCACTTTGATTTTTTTCCCCTCTTTGACTTTCTTTTTTTTGGGGGGGGGGGGGAGGGGCGGACAGGGAGACTCTCCCTAGTTGGGAACTGTCCACAACTTATAAGGAAGTGTTGACAGCACAATCAAAGAGATGAGCTGTAAAATGTAAAACCATCAAGCGGTAACTTCACAACTGGAAGAAAGATGTATTCTAGCAAGCAATCTCACTGATATCAAAGTACTGTAAACTTGAAATCTCCCAGCTGTAAGTTAGTTAAAGCAGAGATAAGTTTTTCTAGCAGAGGAAAACATGGAAAACCAGCTATTTGAGATCGCATATGAAGTGGTGCTGAGAGACAGTATTTCATTTAGAGCTGCTGAAAGCTCCGAGTGTTTTACACCAGCACCTCCCTTCCCACCCTGCAATCCATCAACCAGCTTCAAGTTACTCTTTACACTTCGCATCATGATCAAGTCCACGTATTACAAAGGAGGGAAAACACACGAGCATCATACTGAAAGTTTCTCTGTTTTGGGCCAGCAGGAAATTCCAGTTACTTCATTCACTGGAGCTGGTTAAGCTGCTGAAATGGGTACTTGGAGAGATCACTGCGTTGGAACTTAGACTTGATTTTCGGGGTTGGAGGAGGTCAGACAAAGATGAATGGGACTCAGTCTGAGCTCAAGGTCAAGGACCTCTGAGTCACAAAGGGCTTGTAGGTCAGGAGATAGAGACAAAAAATTAGCACCAAAAAACAAAAGCCTAAACTAAAAGTCTGCATACTTTTGTTGGTAAGCAGGAACACCGGTACCTGGTGGGCAAAGAGGGGGTGGAAAGCAGCCCCAATGCTAGGTGAGATCTCAGGAGATTTTTACATCCTCCTGAAGTCTCCAGAACTGTAAGCATTATACGTCAATATATACATTGTACCCTGACTTCTGGAACAGGCTACCTTCCGCTGAGCCTTTTCCCAGGACCTTGGCTCCTCTTCTGTCTACAGAGCCGCAGGGTCTCCTGTCAGTCTCCCACACAGAGAGAAGTGCTGGACAGTGGGACCGGGCGAGCCCAATTCTCCCCCTCCGTCCCATTCCATCAAGACGACCAAGAACTTCCCGAAACCCGAAAGTCGGAGAGCGCTGCAGGTGCGGGCCAGCTGCACGGCCAACTTGTCTAGGGTCAGGCTGTCTCCACCCGAGAGCCCGACACTCGCGGGGCTCCCGGGCTTCGCAGCGCAGCCCAGAGGAAGCCTGGGGCCGCCAGGGGGCGGGAGGGAGCAGTTCTTCGGGCGCCTCCCCACCTCGTTCCCCTCCCCCGACCCGCCGGCCACTCACGGATTTTCACTCGGCGGTGGTCTAGGCGCGCGGCGGCGGCGTGCAGGGCGTCGAGGCGGCGGTGCACGGCGTCAAGGCGGTGGCCCACCGCGGCCGCCTGGCCCTCGAGCTCGCCGAAGATGTCCCCGGCGCAGCGCGACAGGTCGGCGAGCTGCGCCAGCAGGCAGACCAGGGCGTGCGAGCTGACCTGCTCCAGCGAGCGGAAAAGCGGCGCGCCCGCGGCCCCGGCCGCCTCGGGCCGGCGCAGCCGCGCGGGCTCCACGGTCCTCTGGTGGAAGGGCATGGCCAGCGGCGGGCGGCTCGGGCTCGCGGCGCCACGGGCCGCCCGGGGCCAGCAAAGCCCTCAAGCCGCCCCCCGTCGGCGCGGGGCGCGAGTCCGCATCCAACACAAAGAAAAGTCCCGGGCAGCGGCGGGGCGCCGAGGGGAAGCCTGGTGGCGGCCGCCCGCCGGGAAAGGCGAGGCGGCCAGGAAGGACGGACCGACGGACGCGCGGGCAGGCGGGCAGCGAGGCAGAGGAGCCAGCGGCAGCCCGGGGAGCCGCGGGAAAGAGGTCCGGACGGTCCGAGCAGCGGCCGCCCGGCGGCGTCCTCCCACCCGCGGGGGCGCTCGGCCGCGCGGCGAGAGGAAGTTCCCGGAGCAGCTCCCGGGCAGGGGGCGCGGCGGCCGCAGCGGAGAGGGGAGACGTGAGTCCCGCCGAAGTTTGCAGGGAGGCAGGAAAGAGCCGGCGGCTCCTTCCCTCCCTCTGGATTGGAGAGGGAGGAGGAAGCGGGGGAAGTGCCGCCGACACCGGGCGCGCGGGAGGGGAGGCGAAAGAAAGGAAAGGGGGAGGAGAAAAGGGCCGGCCCGAGGAACCACCTGCGGCTCCCGCGGCCGCCGCGCCCAGCGCCCGGGGGAGGCAGCGGCCCAGCGCCTGAGCGCGCCCTGCCAGGACCGGGACGGCCGCTCTGTCCGGGGCTCCCACGTCGCCGCCCGGCTCCCCTCTAAAGCCCTACGGGCAAATGAGCCGAGTCCTCGCCTGTCCCCCAGGCACGCCGCCGGAGGTGGGGGGGGGGGCGCCGAGGAGGCGGAGGCTCCGGGACGGCCGCGGCGAGCCCAGCCGCGCCGCTCACCTGCGCTCCTCGCCGAGGGGCCCGTGAGACTGGCGTGACGCGCCCAGCCCCACGGGAAACGCTCGGAGGCCTCAGTGGGTCTACCTGGTCTCTCCCAGTCCCACTCTGGAAGGCGTCTAACGCTTCTGGTCGCTTCATTAGACCTAAAAGAGGACATTTAAGTCCTCCGGTAGCTAACTAAAGGTTCTGTAGCCGACTAGGAGTCCTCCCAATCAGAAAAACCTCTCCGGGAATTGGGGAGGGGAGCGAGGGGGCTCAAGAGACTTTTTCTTAACAAACTGGCTCCACCTCCCTCCATCTGGAAAGGCCCCAGCTGAAATGTGCCGACTGTGAGTTTTTGCTCCACAATCGTGGGAGCGGGATGAGGGGTGGAACCCTGACCTAGAGCCCTAAAGTTGGTGCCTGGAAGATAGTTCAGCTAAATGCTGTTGAGAGCATGGTCATGGGACATGCCACTAACTCACACCTCCTGGTTAGATGTATCTGAGACAGATCGATATCCCGAAGCTGAAGTCCCGCTTGCCCTCTCTGTTTGCTCAGAAGAGGAATCTGCTCTTGTTTGGTTTCTGCCCCTCCCCCCCCACCCCCAAGTGACAGAACTGCTGCACCGTTGGGTTGCAGTTTGGAAATCGGGTGCCCGGAGCTGTGCTACTTGCACTGCAAAGTGGATCCCCTCACGAGAAATGCAGGACAAACAGGCCTGAGGGAGAGAAAGCATCTCCACCCAACATCTGGTAAAGAGAAATGTTTTTAGTCTTCCCTCTACTGTGCAGCCAGGCGTTTTTCCCAATGTGGGCGAATTTGGTCTCCTGGTCACTCTGGGCGCCTTCGGGGTCGTTAGGAGGCACAAAGGAGTGCTGCTGTCAACGGAAGAATAGCTGCGGAATGTATGCAGCACCGTATAAACAGCAGATGCAGCATAAAAGCGTGCTGTTTGCTGGCTGGAAGTATGTGCACAGCTGGCTGGGTCTGTCCCTGCCATCATGAGGCTGCCAGTCTAGTGGACCATATAAAACAATCTTTAATTCATATGTCATGTAATTCACCTATTTAAAGGGTACATTTCATTGGTTGTTAGTATATTCACAGTGTTAGGTAAACATTACCATAATCAGTTTTAGAACATTTCAATCACACCTTCTACCCCCCAAAAAACATTTCTCTTTAGTACTCACTTGTTTTTGTTTGTTTGTTTGTACATATCTGCCTCTTCTGGCCATTTCATATAAAGGAAATCATACAATATGTACCCTTCTGTGTCTGCCTTCTTTCACTTAGCATGAGGTTCATCCATGTTGCACCATATATCCGTACTTCAATCCCTTTTTATGGCCGAATAACATTCTATTGTATGGATATACCACATTTTGTTTATCCATTCGTTGATGGATATTTTTAAAGATTTTATTTATTTATTTTTAGAGAGAGGGAGAGGGAGGAAGAAAGAAACATCGAAGTGAGAAACATCAATTGGCTGCCTCTCACACGCACCCTGACCTAGGACAGAACCCGAAACCCAGGCACGTTCCCTGACTAGAAACTGAACCAGTGACCTTTCGCCCTGCAGGATGACACCATCAGGCCCACTTAGGGACATCTGAGTTTCCACTTTTTGGCTATTATGAATACTGCTGCTGTGAACACTTGTTCAAGTCTTGTGTGGACGTGTTTTTATTTCTTGAGTATACACCTAGGAGCATTGCTGCATTATAACTATGGTTAACTTTTGGGGGGAACGGCCATACTTTTCCAAAGCAGCTGTACCATTTTACTTTCCTACCAGTAACATATGGGGGTCTTCAGTTTCTCCATATCCTCACCAATACTTCCTGTTACCTGTCTTTTTGACTACAGCTATCCTAATAGTTGTACAGTGGTATCTCATTGTGGTTCTGATTTACCTTTCTCTGATAGAAATGATTTTAAGCATTTTTTCATGGGCTTATTAGCTGTCTGTTTATCTTCTTTGGAATAGCATTGCATACATTTGGAGAAATATCTCTTCAGATTTTTTGCCCATTTTTTAAATTCAATTACTGTCTTATTATTAAGTTGTAATAGGTCTTTATATCTTGTACATACATAGCCCGTAGCGTGTATAACATTTACTTACTAATCGCTTCAACAGTATTGTTCTTCATTCATCCTTCTCTTCCCTTGAGACTGTCTTCTTGATCTGAAAAAAAATATGATTTAACCACATAAACTAATACAGCATAAAGGAAGCAAGGACTTGTTATAAATTTGTAATCCTAGGGCACAATGAATAGAATTTTTTGATAAGATGATTTCACTGCTCCAGAAACAACTCAAATTCTATATGTAACCAGAACATTGAATAAACAGGATTCATGGTGTGTACCCATAAAAGCAACTTAATTTTTGTTACCCACTCTCTCTTTCGGAACCTGTGCAATGAGGTTATTCTTCCTCTTCTACTGAATGGCAACTCAAACACTCCCATAACTACTTTGTTCTATCTCAGGTAATAGAAAACCCTACTGTTGCTCTAAGAGATAAGACGTGCTCTGAATTCAGTACAGATGCTCCTTGCCTTACCACGGGGTTCCATCCTGATAAGCCCATCCTAAGGTGAAAATATCGTAAGTCAAAAATGCATTTAACACTGCACTGTGGAGTGTCAGTTGCTTACCCTCCTGATTACGTGGATGACTGGGAGCTATGGCTTACTCTCACTGCCCAGCATTATAAGAGAATATCCTACAGCACATTGCTTGCCCAAGTCAAAATCAGAAGTATGGTTTCTACTGAACATGTATCGCTTTTGAATCATTATAAAGTCAAAAAATTACAAGTAGGGGACAGTCCATAATTAAGACCCTGCCTGCTTCCCCAGCAGGGGCCCTCTGTGGATAGAAGTCAGGGCAAAGGGCTGGGTCCTACTCCATCTCACCCTCCCCCACCAGGCTGCTAGCTGTGGTATGGGGAAGGAGTGGAGATAGCAGCATTGTGTGCACTGGACTGGTAGTCTGACAAAGTGGCATCACTTTCCCTAGGCCGGGAGATATTTGAAGCTGACTCATTCAAACACAAACACTTTTGTGGTCCCTTACTGGGAATGTTTGACCATACTTCCAAGACACAAGCAATGAATTCTCTCTGCTTATACTACTTCAATCTTGGTTTTCCTTTTGCCCTCTCCATACAGACTCTCACTTTTGGGGTCCTATCAACAATCTAGGTAAGATCTTTTAAGCAGAATCCCTTTTAAAGTGATCCAGGGCTGACTATCCAACTAGAGACTTCACATATGGTCTCTGAAGTCCACATACCTTTTAAAAGCTCATGGTTGAAAGGCAGAACAGCCTTGGCTGGTGCAGCTCAGTTAGTTAGAGCTTTGTCCTGTAACCAAAGGTTGCAGGTTTGATTCCCAGTCAGGGCACATACCTAGATTGCAAATTCCCTGATCCCGGAGCATGTAATCCCAAGTCTGGGTGCATACAGAAGGCAACCGGTCAGTGCTTCTCTCTTATACTGATGTTTTTCTCTATTCTTCTCTTCCTAAAAGAACAAATGAAAAAATGTCCGTGGGTAAGGAATTTAAAAAAAAAGAAGGAAAAAAAGAAAGGCAGAATAGTTCCCTCTCAGGCATAGGCCTCTACTCTGCGGCCACCATTCCATATGTTGCAGTACCTTCCTCATGTGGGAGTCCGGCCCCTGCCCCTTCACTGTCAGCCAAGAGCATACACCAAGCTCTCTGCGTGGTTCTGGAGAGGAAGCCCTTCTCACTGGGCTTGATGTTGATGCCAGTGCCCCAGCCCATTTGAGGGGGGGGGGAAGGGCAGGACTCCCACTCCTATCTAAAAATCCTCCCAAAACCTTCTTTACTGGTCCCCTGTGTCTTCTGTACCCTCTGTATGAGTGAGCATATAATTAGCCTTCAACCATTTGAAATTTCCACACCATAGTTACTCTTTATCACAACTCATTTTGGTACCTGATATAGGTCATTTCTTGGTACATCAGTCACAGCTTCCCACTTAGCATCCTGCAAAATAATATACAAAACAGGATCAAACATTATATCAACTTAATACCAAGAATTTAATGCTACCTACTAAGTTAAGGGAAGTGGGAAAAGAAACTAGCTTGGGAGAAAAAAAGGTTTGGTGTGACATGCAATTAGAAGCATCTTCGGGGCTGGTGAAGATCTGGAGTGGAATTCAGGTAAGGACTGGAAGCCACTGATGTGACACTGAATGCCATAAGAACAGCTAATAGGTGAGTATAAGGATGGATGAGCAGAGAGCTAAGGACCTAGTTAGAGGAAGTCCCCAGCCAGGGGGCAAGAGGAGGAGAAAGGAGCATTGAAGGAAACAGAAGAGGAGGAAATGAGTGGTCACTTTCATCAATCCCAAGGTTAGAGAGGTTTAAGATAGAGGCAACAGAGGCAGAGAGAGGTAAGCAGGGAAGGGGTTACTGGCAACCTTCAAAGGTGCAATTGTAATACATAGTGCACTTGTACTATGACAGAGGGGGCAGAAGCCAGATTTCAGTGATGAATAGGGAATACAGATGATGAAACTGGAACATTCATAGATAAAACTGCCATGCAAAGAAGCTCAAAAAGTAACTAAATGAAGCAATATTATAAAAAAAATATTTAGCTCAAGA